CACACACACACACACAAAAAGACTACAGCCTTGATATTGGAGGTAGACAGACCTGGATTCAAAATCCTGTCTCTGCCACCTACAGTCTCTCTCTGTGACCTGAGCTAGTGGCTTAACTTTTGTAGCCTCAGTGCTTCATCTATAAAACAAGAACAGTAATATCTACCTTGTAGGAAAGGAGTGATGTTTGCAAGGGATCTTTTATATAAACTGCCTACCTGCCTGGCATAGAGATGGCCTGAAGAAATGGTCATTACTGTCATAATCTGACTCTCTAAACAGATTCATTCTCTTAAGCAGAAACTTCATTTAAAAAGAATGTCATTGTTGACCATGGGCTATAACACATGTAACATTTTTGGCTTCAGGTAGAAGCTGTCCAACTCATAGCCGATGGAAAAGCACCTCGTATTCCCCAGCCGGAAGAAGGCGCGACTTATGAAGGCATCCAGAAAAAGGAAAATGCCAAGGTATTTCTGTTGACTCAACATCTTAAATTTCATTGCCTCTTAGCTTTGAATCATTCCCGACACATCCTTTCCTCTCCTAACCTTAAATTTCCAAACCAGCCCCTTCTACCTGTTTCTGCCACTGCCAGGGAGAAACATTTCTGTTGCCTTTGAAACTCCCAGCATTTGGAGGTTCAGCCTGTGCTTTGTGCTTTCCTAGATTTCTTGGGAGCAGTCTGCTGAAGTTTTGCATAATTGGATCCGAGGCCATGATAAAGTCCCTGGAGCTTGGACAGAGATAAATGGACAGGTATGTTTTAGGGACCAATTTTATTTTTCCCCCAATGAACATAATTAAGTCAAGACTCCCCCTGGATCTTTCTTTGGTGATAATGAGGGTCTGTGATTCTAGGTATGTGTGACCAGCTAAGAGATCTGTGGCTGCATGATGAACAGGAAACATTGTGCACTGTCCATGACTTGTATTGAACACTTACTGTAAAGGCAGACACTGGGCACAGCTGGGCTCTAATAGGGCCTCCTGTTTTACAGAGAAGGCAGAGAAGTGAATAAGTCCTCAAAATGCAGTCAGATAAATGCAGCAATTGGGGCCTGGACTCAGGGTGGTCAGGGCAGGCTTCCTGGAAAAGCTGACTGCTATGCTGGCACTTTGAGAAGAGTCAGTGGGTGGCCAGAGAGACAGAGAGGTGCAGAAGGTGAAGTAAAGGCCAGAGGTGGGAGAGCATAAGGCCCAGTCAAAAAATTTCAAAAGAGTTCAAGGAAGCCAGAGTCTCAGGACGAGGTGGGAGGGGTGTGGGAAAA